GTCTACCCACGCAAAAGCTGTTCGTAACAGCATTATTCACAATAGCCAAAAAGTGGAAACAATCCAAGTGTCCATCGATTGATGAATGAATAAACAAAATGTGGACACACTGAAATGTTATTCAGCCACATACAGGCGTGATACATACTACAACATGGATGAACCTTAAAAACACGCTAAGTGAAAGAAGGCACACACAAAAGGACACCTAAGCTATATAATTCCATTTATATGAAATGCCCAAAATAAGCAAATCCATAGAGATACAAAGTAACTGCTAGTGGATATGAGGCTTGTTTTGGGGGTGATGAAAATATTCTAAAACTTATTCTGATGATAGCTGCACAACTCTGTGAATATACTAAAAGACATCTGAACTGTACATATCTCAGTGAGGCTATTATTAGGGAAAAAAGAAAAAACAAGGACAAGCTGCCATTACAGACCCCAAAAGATTCTGCCTCAACTTGTATGTCACCACAAAGCAAAATAAGAGGAATAGGAGAGTCTATAAGTCAATAGAAAGAAGACTTGTATATCCAGGTAGTAAATGACTTAACACAAACCCAAAACAAAACAACTTGACATTTTACTTAGCACATGGACCAAGGTAACAGGCAAATTGTTACGCTTTTTGAAATACTGAAAGACCCAAAAAGGACCTAGGGATCCCAGGGTCAACATGTATCTAAAGCATTCAGAACTTTTTTTTTTTTTTTTTTGCGGTACACGGGCCTCCTACCGCTGCGGCCTCTCCCGCTGCGGAGCACAGGCTCCAGACGCGCAGGCTCGGCGGCCATGGCTCACGCGCCCAGCCGCTCCGCGGCACATGGGATCTTCCCAGACCGGGGCACGAACCCGTGTGCCCTGCATCGGCAGGCGGACTCTCAACCACTGCGCCACCAGGGAAGCCCAGCATTCAGAACTTTTAACGCAACATCAATCTAATCCGAGAGTCCCAATAGCTTCTCCACATGTCATTAGAGAGTCCATGAATCTGCGCCTGCCCACCTCAGCTCCCTCCTGGGCACTGCTGGTTTCACAGGATAATCCTCAAGCATCCACAGAAAGTCAAAAACAAAAAAACAAAAACAAAAACTCTTTTCACCATTAACTTCCCTAACAATGAGCATATATTATATGTCCTTAAGTTTACCATTACTTAGGGAGTCTTGTCTCATTTTACGGAAAGTTATATAAATCTGAAGAATAACTCTTTGACATTCTCCATTGGAAGACACAACCACCCATTTCTGGAACTGCTGAATCCCTCATGTAATTACCTCTTTCCTGGGCATATGATCTTCTGGTCAAGGACAAACTGCCAATGTTCTAATTCAGTGGTGCCAAGTTCATTATTACCTCACCTTCAGATAAGAAAGTGACACGCGTGAGAAAAATCAGAACATTAACACACTAGAAACTTCAAAGTAGAATAATAATACAGCCAACACATTTACACATACCTCAACAAACACACACACCAACAAACCCATGGGGCAAAAATCTCACAACCACTATTCCATGACAAAAATAAGTAAACGGATAAAGCCCAAATCTACTTGGGGGTAGCGGGGTGCAGGGTAGGAGCCTGGGAGCCTTCAGAAAAGCGGTAACAGTTTCCCTCATGCACCGTTAACCTTCACAGTCTTTCTAACACATAATGAGACCAGCAATTTTACTTTGAGGAACACAGATGGAGAAACTGGCTCAAAAGTAAACAACACTTATAAGTATGTTTCTCGTGCTTTATTCACAACAGAAAATGAAAAGCAACTTAGATGTCCAACAACAAGGGCGTGCTTTAGTAAACCCTGGTATATAGTTATGTAGGAAAATATGGTCTACCCTCTCCAAAAAACACTGCATCGTAGACTATGTGAATACATGGAAAAGACCATGCAAAATGTAAACTAGGAGAAGCAATAAGATCTTTCAAGTAAAAGAAAATTGTATATTTTTAAATGGATCTTTTACAATGACACTTAAATAGGAGTTTACGGAGACTAATATTAGTTGATAATTTTTAATGAAGAGCTTCTTTGAAGTGGCATATTTGTTGTTATTGTACAGTCAAGTTGATTGAATATACAACGTAAAGTTTCTAACACTATTATGAAAGGCAAGCACCAAAGAAAATGCAGAACTCATCAAATTCTCTTGATATTTCTTGCTGTTTTGACACAATTATTCTGGCTACCATTATCTGTTAATCATCTTCACATCACTAACCTAATTCAGCGTTTTTTATAAACTATTTCCAAGTCAGCAGCCAGCACAATGGCACTGGGCATGAAGACATTCAGGGTATGCGGAGCAAACCCAAAACACTCCTCAAATTTTTGACAATTATAAACAAAAAAATTGCTCTGCTACTCTTGTGCCTTCACTGAAATATTTGCAAATTCAATGAAGTCCAGAAAATTCTCCTGAGTTCCCCTCCTCAACACTTCTGCAGCATGACCTGGCTGGAGGACAATTTAGCATTTTGCCCCAGCAATCACAGCACATGTGCACACAGAGGCAGCCACAAGAATGTTCACTGCAGCACTGGAATAGGAAACAGTGGAAACAACATTTGTGCTCACCAGGAGGAAAATGGCTTTAAAAATTATGGTACAACTACACAGTCGAATTCTACACAGCACGTGAACTGACACGAAAAAATTTCCAAGATACATTATTTGGAAAAAACCAAAATTTACAAAATAAAGTCCACCCAGTAGGAAAAGTTCTGGGAGGATCCACAGGACACTGGAAACAATCACTACCTCTGAAGAAGAGGCTGGAGCTAAGAATAAGAATGGTGGTCAAAGGAGACTCCTGACTTTTCTGTAACGTTTTGAGTTTTTACAAGGAGAATAAATTCATGCCTTATTTCCATAATTATAATTTAAGAAAAATCTCTGGATCATAAATTGCATGTGATTTATCTAATATTCCATTAAGGGAATTCAAATCTATATGAACACAGGTGGTATGGGTCTAACTGATAAAGCGCATTGAAGGTGCCCTGTCTTCACATTTAAATACAAAAACACACTTCCCTCTGTACCTCTCCAACAATGTAAATATGTTTCCTTCCTTAAAAACAACCCCAGACACCCTCCTCGCCAAAAAAAAAAAAAAAAAGGAAAAAAGCACTTTTAGTACAAGACCAAATTTTTAAAAAATCTTACACATAATCTCAAACTCCTTAATAAGCATTTTTACTTTTCATCCAAAAAACGATAGTGTTACAAAGCCTTAGCCAAACTTCACCTCATTAAGATGATGTCTGTTGCCCACATAACTATTTTGAAGTTGTTTCATTCACTTGGTCTGGTTTTAATCAATACAGAAAAGTTAGTGGGAAGGCAAAGCTATTCCATTTTGAGCATAATTTCGGAGGACTTCCAGCATCTCATCTCCCGCCTCAACAAGGAACCCCTCTTATAGCAAGGGGGTCCAAGGGATTCTGATAATTAGCCGGATTTGGGAACCCATGCTCTAAAAGTGGGTTTTAAGCAGTACTTCTCAATCCATGCTGCATACGATTATTATTTTTTAAATATGACGTGAGAGCCACCACCCACTGCAGACCTATTAAATCAGAATCTCTGAGGAGTGGGTTCCCGTCATCAATTCTCTTTTTTAACTTCCTCAGATTGAGAACCCTGTGTTGAAGTAACTGGTTTAGGCGTTGCTCTTATCCAGCTCAGGAAGCAGAACACCATTATCTGCATGGGCCATAGGAAACACAGTGGCAGCCAGCAGAGGAGCTGAAACACCAACCCCCAGTTTTATTTGAAGTCACAGAGTTAGGCTAACAGGACAAGATTCTCTATAACTAAGATCCATTATAGACTAGGGCTAGTAAGAAGCCCTGGTTTCAACTAAAGATAAAGTCACTCCGCTAACTTGAAACTTGGTAAAGTCATTTAACCTCTCTGAGGTTCAAATTATCAATTTTTTAAAGGACTGGAATAAATGACCTCCGAAGATCCTCTGATCTCAAACCCCATGATGATTCTACCATGTGGCCACAAATCAATCAAGTCCATAAGCAGAGTATCCTTAAATAAATGCATGAATATCTTCTGCGAGTATCAGATTCATCATACATATAATTTTATGCTAATCTACATAAAAATTCTATTCATCATCACACCATAAGAAATCCTAACTGAACCTAATTAGATTCTATCAGATCAATCACAAGTGAAAATTAAACTAGTCACATAAGTCTCAAAATAAATACAGGGATTTCCCTGGTGGTGCAGTGGATAAGACTCCACGCTCCCAATGCAGGGGGCCCAGGTTCAATCCCTGGTTGGGGAACTAGATCCCACATGCATGCTGCAACTAAGAGTTTGCATGCCACAACTAAGGAGCCCGCGAGCCACAACTAAGGAGCCCTGGAGCTGCAAGTAAGGAGCCTGCGAGCCGCAACTAAGACCCAATGCAACCAAATAAATATTTCTTTAAAAATTAAACAAACAAATAAATAAAACTATCAAAATAAACAATCTAATCCTACACCTAAAGCAACTAGAGAAAGAAGAACAAAAAGAAGCCCAAGTCAGTAGAAGGAAAGAAATCATAAAGATCAGAGCAGAAATATATGAAATAGAAACGAAGAAAACAATAGCAAAGATCAATAAAACTAAAAGCTGGTTCTTTGAGAAGATAAACAAAATTGATAAACCCTTAGCCAGACTCATCAAGAAAAAAAGGGAGAGGACGCAAATAAGTAAAATTAGAAATGAAACAGGAGAAATCACAACTGACACTGCAGAATTACAAAGGATTATAAGAGACTACTACAAACAACTAAATGCCAATAAAATGGACAACCACGAAGAAATGGACAAATTCTTGGAAAGGTACAAATTTCCAAGACTGAACCAGAAAGAAATAGAAAATATAAACAGACCCATCACAAACAATGAAATTGAAACTGTAATTAAAAATCTTCCAACAGCTTTTCGGCCGGAACCACCATCTTCCAGTAATTCGCCAAAATGATCAACACAAAGGGAAAGAGGAGGGGCACCCGCTACATGTTCTCCAGGCCCTTTAGAAAATATGGAGTTGTTCCTTTGGCCACACACATGCGAATCTACAAGAAAGGAGATACTGTAGATATCTGGACACTGTTCAAAAAGGAATACCCCAGGCTTCCCTGGTGGCACAGTGGTTGAGAGCCCGCCTGCTGATGCAGGGGACACAGGTTCGTGCCCCGGTTCGGGAGGATCCCACGTGCCGCGGAGCGGCTGGGCCCGTGAGCCATGGCCGCTGAGCCTGCGTGTCCGGAGCCTGTGCTCCGCAACGGGAGAGGCCACAGCAGTGAGAGGCGTGCATACCGCGCAAATAAAAAAAAAAAAAAAAAAAAAAGGAATACCTCAGAAATGTTACCATGGCAAAACTGGGAGAGTCTACAATGTTACCCAGCATGCTGTTGGCATCATTGTAAACAAACAAGTTAAGGGCAAGATTCTTGCCAAGAGAATTCATGTGCGTATCGAGCATATTAAGCACTCTAAGAGCCGAGACAGCTTCCTGAAACGGGTGAAGGAAAACGATCAGAAAAAGAAGGAAGACAAAGAGAAAGGTACTTGGGTTCAACTGAAGCGCCAGCCTGCTCCACCCAGAGAAGCACACTTTGTGAGAACCAACGGAAAGGATCCTGAACTGTTAGAGCCCATTCCCTATGAATTCATGGCATGATGGGTGTAAAGAAAATAGAAGACCTGGACTGTATAAATGTTTCTCTTAATTGAGTAGAAGTGTGTGACCCCCCTCCTCCAAACAAATATTTAAAGCACATTTTAATTGTGTCCAAATTCAGTGGGTGACATCTTTTTACTTTTCAAATTTAGTAGTTTTTCTTCCTGAAAGATGTGAGGTAGTTTGTTGTGCAGTATACTCCACTCGTTAATAAACTGCTAGATATTATTTATAAAATATTTGTACTAGTTTGAAAATAGTCTCTAAATTCCTATGAACAAAGGATTTAAAATAAATGAATTAAAGGTTAAAAAAAAAATCTTCCAACAAACAAAAGTCCAGGACCAGATGGCTTCACAGGTGAATTTTATCAAACATTTAGAGAAGAACTAACACTGATCCTTCTCAAACTCTTCCAAAAGATTGCTGAGGGGGGAACACTCCCAAATTCATTCTACTAAAACACCATCACCCTGATACCAAAACCAGAAAAAGATACCACAAAAAAAGAAAACTACAGGCCAATATCACTGATGAACATAGATGCAAAAATCCTCAACAAAATACTAGCAAACAGAATCCAACAGCACATTAAAAGGATCACATACCATGATCAAGTGGGATTTATCCCAGGGATGCAAAGGTTCTTCAATATACACAAATCAATCAATGTGATACACTGTATTAATAAATTAAGGAATAAAAACCATATGATCAGCTCAATAGACACAGAAAAAGCTTTTGATAAAATTCAACACCCATTTATGATTAAAAACTCTCCAGAAAATGGGCATAGAGGGAACCTACCTCAACATAATAAAGGCCATATACGACAAACCCACAGCAAACATCATTCTCAATGGTGAAAAACTGAAAGCATTTCCTCTAAGATCAGGAACGAGACAAGGATGTCCACTCTCACCGCTATTATTCAACATAGTTTTGGAAGTCCTAGCCACGGCAATCAGAGAAGAAAAAGATATAAAAGGAATACAAATTGGAAAAGAAGAAGTAAAACTGTCACTGTTTGCAGATGACATGATACTATACACGGAAAATCCTAAAGATGCCACCAGAAAACTACTAGAGTTAATCAATGAATTTGGTAAAGTTGCAGGATACAAAATTAATGCACAGAAATCTCTGGCATTCCTATATACTAACAACACAAAATCAGAAAGAGAAATTAAGGAAACAATCCCATTTACCATCGCAACAAAAAGAATAAAATACCTAGGAATAAACCTATCTAAGGAGGCGAAAGACTTGTACTCAGAAAACTAAAACACTAATGAAAGAAATCAAAGATGACATAAACAGATGGAGAAATATACCATGTTCTTGGATTGGAAGAATCAACATTGTGAAAATGACTCTACTACCCAAAGAAATTTACAGATTCAATGCAATCCCTACCAAACTACCAATCACATTCTTCACAGAATTAGAACAAAAAATTTTACAATTCGTATGGAAACACAAAAGACCCTGAATACCCAAAGCAATCTTGAGAAAGAAAAACGGAGCTGGAGGAATCAGGCTCCCCGACTTCAAACTATACTACAAAGCTACAGTAATCAAGACAGTAGGGTACTGGCACAAAAACAGAAATATAGGTCAATGGAATAGGATAGAAAGTCCAGAGATAAACCCACACACATATGGTCACCTAATTTATGACAAAGAAGGCAAGAACATACAATGGAGAAAAGACAACCTCTTCAATATGTGGTGCTGGGAAAACTGGACAGCTACTTGTAAAAGAATGAAATTAGAACACTACCTAACACCATACACAAAAATAAACTCCAAATGGATTAAAGACCTAAGTGTAAGACCAGACACTATAAAACTCTTAGAGGAAAACATAGGAAAAACAATCTTTGACATAAATCACAGCAAGATTTTTTTTGACCCACATCCTAGAGTAATGAAAATAAAAACAAACAAATGAGACCTAATTAAACTTAAAAGCTTTTGCACAGCAAAGGAAACCATAAACAAGACAAAAAGACAACCCTCAGAATGGGAGAAAATATTTGCAAAGAAAACAGACACCAAAATATACAAACAGCTCATGGAGCTCAATATCTGTCATACAGAGTGAAGTCAGAAACAGAAAAACAAATACCATATACTACTGCATATATATGGAATCTAAAGGAAAAAAAAAATGGTACTCGGCTTCCCTGATGGCACAGTGGTTGAGAATCCGCCTGCCGATGCAGGGGACACGGGTTCGTGCCCCGGTCTGGGAACATCCCACATGCCGCGGAGCGGCTAGGCCCGTGAGCCATGGCCGCTGAGCCTGCGCGTCCGGAGCCTGTGCTCCGCAACGGGAGAGGCCACAGCAGTGAGAGGCCCGCATACCGTAAAAAAAAAAAAACAAAAAAAACGGTACTGATGAACCTAGTGGCAGGGCAGGAATAAAGACACAGACATAAAGAATGGACTTGAGCACACGGGGCGGGGTGTGGAGGTAAGCTGGGGTGAAGTGAGAGTAGCATCGACGTATATATACACTACCGAATGTAAAGTAGTTAGCTAGTGGGAAGCAGCCGCATAGCACAGGGAGATCAGCTCAGTGCTTTGCAACAACCTAGAGGGGTGGGATAGGGAGGGTGGGGAGGAGGCTCAAGAGGGAGGGGATAGGGGGATATATGTATGCGTATGGCTGATTCATTTTGTTGTACAACAGAAACTGACACAGTATTGTGAAGCAATTATACTCCAATAAAGGTCTATTTAAAAAAATAATAAAAAGATATAAATAAATAAAACTATAAAAATAAATACATACATTTGGAATAAAGAAATTTTTAAAATAATTCAACCTTGTCTTTGTTAATGTTCTGATTAAAGGAAATTTTTTCCCATTTTTAAAAACTGTGGTAAAATATGTGTAAAATTTACCATTTTAAACATTTTTAAGTGTGCAGTTCTATGGCATTAAGACATACACATCTACTCAGCCATAAAAAGAAACGACATTGATTTATTTGTAGTGAGGTGGATGGACCGAGAGACTGTCATACAGAGTGAAGTACGTCAGAAAGAGAAAAACAAATACCATATATTAACACATATATATGGAATCTAAAAAAAAAAAAAAAATGGTCATGAAGAACCTAGAGGCAGGACGGGAATAAAGACGCAGACCTACTAGAGAATGGACTTGAGAACACGGGGAGGGGGAAGGGTACGCTGGGACAAAGTGAGCGAGTGGCATGTACATATTTACACGACCAAACGTAAAATAGATAGCTAGTGGGAAGCAGCGGCATAGCAAAGGGAGATCAGCTCAGTGCTTTGTGACCACTTAGAGGGGCGGGATAGGGAGGGCGGGAGGGAGGGAGATGCAAGAAGGAAGAGTTATGGGGATATATGTATAGCTGATTCATTTTGTTATAGAGCAGAAACTAACACACCACTGTAAAACAATTATACTCCAATAAAGACGTTAAAAAAACAAAAAGAAGACATACACATCTTGTGAAACTATCACTACTATCCATCTGTAGAACTTTTCTTTTTAAACCACTTTACTGAAGTATGACTGACACATAAAATATTTAATGTATATAACCATACTTGTAAAACTATCACCAACCATCAAGGCCAAAAACATATCCAACACCTCCCAAAAGTTTCCTCCTGTCCCCTTTATTTACTTTTTTTTTTTTTTTTTTTGCGGTATGCGGGCCTCTCACTGTTGTGGCCTCTCCCATTGTGGAGCGCAGGCTCCAGACGCGCAGGCTCGGCGGCCGTGGCTCACGGGTCCAGCCACTCCATGGCATGTGGGATCTTCCCGGACCGGGGCACGAACCCGTGTCCCCTGCATCGGCAGACGGACTCTCAACCACTGCGCCACCAGGGAAGCCCTCCACTTTTTAATCTTCCCCAAATGAAACTCTGTACCCATTAAACCCTAACTCCCCATTCTCTTCTCCCCTGCCCCCAAACCCCTAGCAGTCACTGTTCTACTTTCTGTCTCTATGAATTTAACTACTCCCTAGGTATCTCATAGAAGTAGAATCTCATTCAATTCTGTCCTTTGTGACCAGCTTTTTTTTCACCTAGCACGTCCTTAAGTTTCACCCATGTCGTAGCATGTGTCAATTTCCTTCCCTTATAAAGCTGAATGATATTACATTGTGTGTATATTACAATATTTTGTTTACCCATTCATCCATCAATGAACACTTGGGTTGCTTCATTCTGATTTTTTTTTTTTAACTGTATGTTACTTTGAAGTCACATACAATAAAAATGAGAGAACCTTACATCATCACATTTCTTGGGGGGGAAAAAAAAAAAGACCTGTAAGCAGATCACATTCTGGGCCATAAAACACACCTTAAAAACTTTTAAATCATACAAAGTATACTCTCAGACCTCAGTGGAATTAAACGAGAAATCAGTAATTTAAAAATAGCTGGAAAATCCCAAATATAATATTTGAAGATTAAATATGCAATACTTGGAGACTAAATAATTGGGAAATTAAAACTTGGGTCAAAGAAGTTGTCTCAAGAGATAGTCCTAACTAAATGAAAGTGAAAACATAACTTATCAAAACTTGTGACATGCAGGGAAAGCAGTACATAGAGTAAAATTTATATCACTGAATGCAAATATTAAAAAAGAAGAAAGGGATTCCCTGGTGGCGCAGTGACTGAGAGCCCGCCTGCCAATGCAGGGGACATGGGTTCGAGCCCTGGTCCGGGAAGATCCCACATGCCGCAGAGCAGCGGGGCCTGTGCGCCACAGCTGCTGAGCCTGCGCTCTGGAGCCTACAAGCCACAACTACTGAGCCCACATGCCACAACTACGGAAGCCTGCATGCCTAGAGCCTGTGCTCTGCAACAAGAGAAGCCACCGCAATGAGAAGCCCGCACAACAGAACGAAGAGTAGCCCCTGCTTGCTGCAACTAGAGAAAGCCTGCGAGCACCAATGAAGACCCAGTGCAGCCAAAAATAAATAAATAAAATAAATAAATTTATTTTAAAAAAAAGAAAGAAAAGAAGAGAG